GGCTGAGGCAGGAGACTCGCTTGAGCCCAGGAGTTGGAGGTTGCTATGAGTTGTGATGCCACGGCACTCTACCCAGGGGGATAGCTCGAGGCTCCATCTCAAAAAAATAAAAAAATAATAAGTTACAGGAATCAGTTTGGCCTGCAAAGATTTAGAGAAATGGAGGAATATTTCTCTTAGTGCTTATTATTATAATTAGTTCTAATAAGAATATTAGATTATTAACATATATCACTAATTAGAATAGTGACATATGTTAGGCCCTGCTAAACCCTTTATGAATTTTATCCTGACACCTTACAACTCTATAAAAGAAGTATAAGTATTAGTCCTTCATAAATGAGAAAGTAGACTTTTAAGAGTTTGAGTAATTTGCCTTTGAGATTATGCTTGCCTTTTTTTTTTTTTTTTTTTTTGAGGCAGTCTTACTATGTTGCTGTTGGTAGAGTGTGCTGGTGTAACAGCTCACAGCAACCTCAAACTTTTGGGCTTGAGCGATTCTTTTGCCTCAGCCTCCTAAGCCTCCCATGGGATTACAGGCGCCTGCCACAACAGCCAGCTGTATTTTTTGTTGTAGTTGTCATTGTTGTTTAGCAGGCCCAGGCTGGGTTCGCACCCGCCAGCCCCAGTGTATGTGGCCGGCACCCTAACCACTGAGCCACAGACACCGAGCCTGTGCTTGCTGTTGAATCCAGGCCTTTTTGACACTATAGCTGATGGTTTTCCCACACTGCACCACCCTGTTCTGTGCACTTCTCCAGTCACTCAGGCTTGAAATCTTCTCCTTTCTTGCCCCCAGCATCTTTTTTTCCTAAGTTCCTTTTGTTTGTTCCCACCACTTCTGTTCTAGTTGTGTTGTCACAACTCTTGCCTATACCACCAGTAATTTAGAAAAATATTTTAGTTTGATGTTAAAGTTATTATAGTATTATATCTTTATTATTAAAAAGGTATTAGGGGTGGCTCTGGTATTAGGGCTATTAGGGCACTGGCCCCATATATCAAGAGTGGTGGGTTCAAATGGGTTCAAACCTGGCCCCGGCTGAACTGCAACCAAAAAATAGCCAGGCATTGTGTTGGACGCCTGTAGTCCCAGCTACTCGGGAGGCTGAGGCAAGAGGATCGCCTAAACCCAGGAGTGGGAGGTTGCTGTGAGCTGTGACGCCACAGCACTCTACCAAGGGCAATAAAGTGAGACTCTGTCTCTACAAAAAAAAAAAAGAGAGAGAGACTCTAGACCAAAAGAAAAGGTATCAGGCTGTATGAAGTAAAAAGAATTCCTACTTCTTTTCTCTAGACTAATCATCAAAGTTAGTCATTGCTAATAGTTTTGTATATATCCAGAAATTATCTTTATGTCAATTAAATGCACATACATGTACATATATATACATACCTATATTACTAAAGCAAATAGAATTATCCTATATATATGTATATCTTCTGTTGTACAAGATTTATACATGTCATTCTTTATATTAGTTGCATAGCATTCTATTATATGGAAATCCATAATTTATTTAATCATTGCCTTATTGGTAGACATTTGGTTTTTCATTTTTTGCTATTATATACAATGTTTCAATGAATATTTTTATATAGATATCTTTGTACACTTGTGTTGGGTGATGTTCTTTCTCGCGGGGAGAGAAGGACGGCTTGGCCGCGGGTGCAAGCTCGCTCCTAGAATTGTTTAAAAGCAAGAAACGACTACACACTCTTAGGTGGCATGTAGCAAAATGTCTTTATTTTCTACTCCCTTTTATTGGGAGCTAGTCACGTACACCACATTGATCGATAATCCTAACATCCTCATTTCTTATCGTAAACTATAGAAAAGAAAGAAAGTCCGGGAAAGTGAGATAGCTATCATAAGATTAGCCTAAAGAAAGAAAGTCCGGGGAAAGTAAGACAACCATCTTAAGCTAGCCTCAGGCTATTCCTCTTGGAAGATCTAGGAGAACAATACATTATCTGACTTCTATTGTTAAAGTTAAAGGTTAGGATAAACAGAGGAGTAAAACCTTTCTCTTCTATGTACTCAATTAAATTTCCGAGAAACTGGCTCCATGACTGTTTTTTTATGGTTTGGAGACCCTGCAGTTACAATGGAGTATTTTACTCGACATCATTACGATGGAGTTTTTCTTTTCACTCCCATCAACCTTTGAGTCATGTCCTCTGCACAGATGGGCCGTTTCAACCCTTATCTGACAGGCTGACTTGACTGCACAGTCGGGGTTACCTGTAAGAGGTTTTTACACCTTGCCTGCAGGCCCCCACCGTGTTTTCCCAGGTCTCTTAGGGCCTCGACAAAAGCACATAATACTCACAAGTCTTTTTGCTCAGTTCTGGAATTAAAAGAGCACATTTCATTTAATTTTTGTGGGGGTTGACCCCACACACTTGTAGAAATTTATCTACGGGGTAAATTTTTAGAAGGGAAGTACTAAGTGAATAGCCCATTTTGGATTTTCTTTTCTTTTTTAATTAATTTCTTTTTTTTTTTGAGAGTCTCACTATGTTGCTCTTGGTAGAGTGCTCAAACTCTTGGGCTGTAAGCGACTCTCTTGCCTCAGCCTCCTGAGTAGCTGG